TAATGTGAACATTGAAATGGGGACGTTTTAGAGACAAGTATGAACAGAGACCAGGTTTTCCCCGGGGGGTATGCACATGTGGTGGAAACTGGTGAACCCAAATCTGTATCATTTGATGACTAAACTCATTTTAGGCTACAAAGGCATTGTTTCAATTTCCCCCTCTGTGATTCTTAATTCAGACCAAATTTTATCTTATAAGTAGAAGAAGTAGCTGAAAATAATTTCATGCCCTGCCCATGACATAGGCACCGAGTTTTAACAAAAGGCTCATAAACTCTTTTTATGATACTGTAAAACTGGAGAGCTCATGACTGTTAAAACATAAGCTTCATGTTACATGTAACTAAGGCAAGGAGGACAGAGTAAAAATGTAAGTTTTAAAATATATCTTGTATTACATATTAAATGCATGCGGAAAATACTGCACACATGTTCAGTTTCAAAGGCAAAGCTGAGGACAAGCAGTAGGGTGAATGATCCCATGGGCGAAGAAAAATGAAGTGAGGAATGGATTACTGTTCCAAGTTCTCCAGAGGATATGCTATGTTGGTGGTTAGAGGTCACTTTCTATATTTCCTGATTATAAATAAGAAGGTATCATTAAAGGCACATTCAGCTGCTATTTGGTTAATCTAAGTTATAATTTTGGGTCCAATAAAGTTTGAAAATTATTATTTATTTTTTCCTTAGGAATGAGACCCTCCAAAGTGACTTGTGTATTAAGAAGAGGTCTGAAGAGATGTCCAGGGTCTGTCAAAGGCAGCTGGAGGTGCTCATAGTTTTTATCCATCCCAGAACCCAGTGCGGGAAGAGGCTCTCTCCTCTGCTGTAGCCCCCCTTTCCAACCAGTTCTGATGGTGATGGGCCTAAAGCATTAACACTGGCTTCAGTGTTGGCATCTTGTACCATAATCTCATCTCCATGTTTTTACTGCAAAGGGATGTCAAGAGTCCTGAATCCCAAACCTTCAGCTATTAATGTAAGAAGATCTACAGAAGACCAAACAACCTCATATCAAAGTGGAGATCAGTGGATATATGACTGAACATATGTTACAACATATGCCCATTTTATTTTAACATTCTTAAAATTTTTTTCTAATATACAAATTCATAATTTAATTTTAAAAGCAGACAAATTATAGACCAAATAAAAAAATTAAATTATGGATTGTAAAGAAAATCAAAATGTTGACCTTGATGCCAATACTGAGATTTTAATCTACAGATTTTGAACAGATTTTATTATCTTTTAAATATGGAAGTACAATTGAACAAAATATATAAATAAATCACATACCATCACCATTAAATCGTTTAGCCTAGCACTAAAAGCTGCATCAAATTGATGTATTTCACCAGCCAACCATAAAATAAGAAAAATCACTACAAGTTGAGAATCAGCTGAATACACTTTATACTTATGACACCATATTGTTTCTGAATTCTGGTGTGCCTATAATCAATTGTAATTACTTTGCTTTTAAAAGATATAAATATTTTAATGATTTTTATAAGAATGACTTTTCCATGTAATGGAAATAATAATATGAAGCTACACATAAATTTCTTAAGAAAATAACTTGGTTAGATATATTAAATGTCTTCTCATAACCTAATCTAAAATGCAATTTTCCCCCCAGATATATTACACAAAGAGTTGGAAAAAGACTTTTAAAAACTAAGTGAAAACAGTTCTTTGCAGAGTGCTATGGACTTGGGAAAAGATACCAGTCAGCATAAATCAAATTGAAAATCTAATTTACCTAGATATGACTATCCTGCAGGAATCCTTTTATAGTGTTTTTTTCTAAACGTAGCTGCTTTAATTTTGTTCTTACCATTAGTTGGGTTTAAGTTATTATCTTTATTTACACTGTAGATAGACTTACAAATTGTAAATACTCTTGATAAGTTTTAAGAATTAGTGTTTTGATTGTGTATTGAGTATGTAAAGCATAGTGGTCCGACATTTAGTAGAGCTATAAAACAAATTCTTTATATTTCAACGAACATAGAGAAAACAAATGGAGCATGATTTTAGGAGGGGACTGCACGGTCTGAATCAGTTAGAAAAAAATGAGTTCTACAGCCCCAAACACCAAGTGACTGAACCGTAAAATAAATATGGAAGTTGCTAATAGCAGTTACGGCCCCAGTAAAAACATGATAAAAGGCTCTTTGACAGTAAGAAACCTTGGAAGCTGGGGCAAATACAAAATCTATTTTGTAGGGACTGGCAGTATCCTGCTGTCTTTAGTAGGGGTTTCTGACGACGTCTAGTTCATCTCCTTAAGTTGAAGTGATCTATCAAAATGCCTTGTTTCCGGGCTTCCCTGGCGGCGCAGTGGTTGAGAATCTGCCTGCTAATGCAAGGGACACGGGTTCGAGCCCTGGTCTGGGAAGATCCCACATGCCACGGAGCGGCTGGGCCCGTGAGCCACAACTACTGAGCCTGCGCTCTGGAGCCTGTGCTCCCCAACAAGAGAGGCCGCGATAGTGAGAGGCTCGCGCACCGCGATGAAGAGTGGCCCCTGCTTGCCACAACTAGAGAAAGCCCTCGCACAGAAACGAAAACCCAACACAGCCAAAAATAAATAAATAAACAAACAAAGCCAAGCATTTTGAAGCCCTTTAAAAAAAAAAAAAGCCTTGGAACAGTCAAAATCATTTGAACTTCAAAAACATATTAAAAAACAAAAACAAAAAACTACAGTAGTATTGGCAGAGCACTTACTCCTTGATCCAGTCAAAATGGTAGAATATGCTGTAGTGCAGTATCGTTTTGTACTTGGATACATGTTTTTGACGTTATCAGCCCATATAAGCTTACTCAAAGTCTTGTTTGTTCATTTTAAATACAATAATCCTAGCCACTGATTTTGATGACATTTTTAACTTTCTTTTTATAAGATGAAAATGCTCAGAGAAAAATTTTAGATACTGATGATTCTCTCAGTATTTGCTCAAATTAAGGAGCCCGTAAGATAATATTTAATAAGATCCTAACCCTGATCACCTCTCTGAGCTCTTAATTTATCACTGTATTAGACACCCGCCACTCCTCTTCACCCCACTCCCACCATGCCAAAGCATTATGGCTTTGAAATGACTCTTATTGGGTTACATAATTTTTGACCAGTTTCTGTATTTCTTCTTGGAATCCTTCAGTGAAATGGAACTAAAAGAAGAAATTTCAGACGCAGAACAGCATTATGTTTTCCCCATAAACATTACCAGAACTATTTCCATCTCAAGAATCAATGCTTTCTCTTTTAAACATCTTTATTGGAGTATAATTGCTTTACAATGTTGTGTTAGTTTCTGCTGTATAACAAAGTGAATCAGCTATATGTATACATATATCCCCATATCCCTTCCCTCTTGCATCTCCCTCCCAGTCCCACCCGCCTAGGTGGTCACAAAGTACCCAGCTGATCTCCCTGTGCTATGGGGCTGCTTCCCACTAGCTATCCATTTTACATTTGGTAGTGTATATATGTCAATGCTACTTTCTCACTTCATCCCAGCTTACCCTTCCCCCTCCCCGTGTCCTCAAGTCCATTCTCTACATCTGCATCTTTATTCCTGTCCTGCCCCTAGATTCATCAGAACCATTATTTTTTTTTAGATTCCATATATGTGTTAGCATACAGTATTTGTTTTTCTCTTTCTGACTTACTTCACTCTGTATGACAGACTCTAGGTCCATCCACCTCACTACAAATAACTCAATTTTATTTCTTTTTATGGCTGAGTAATATTCCATTGTATATATGTGCCACATCTTCTTTATCCATTCATCTGTGGATGGACACGTAAGCTGCTTCCATGTCCTGGCTATTGTAAATAGTGCTGCAATGAAGATTGTGGTACATGACTCTTTTTGAATTATGATTTTCTCAGGGTATATGCCCAGTAGTGGGATTGCTGGATCATATGGTAATTCTATTTTTAGTTTTTTAAGGAACCTCCATACTGTTCTCCATAGTGGCTGTTATCAGTTTACATTCCCACCAACAGTGCAAGAGGGTTCCCTTTTCTCCGAGGGAGGAACACTCCCAAACTCATTCTACGAGGCCACCATCACCCTGATACCAAAACCAGACAAAGATGTCACAAAGAAAGAAAACTACAGGCCAATATCACTGATGAACATAGATGCAAAAATCCTCAACAAAATACTAGCAAACAGAATCCACCAGCACATTAAAAGGATCATACACCATGATCAAGTGGGGTTTATCCCAGGGATGAAAGGATTCTTCAATATATGCAAAATCAATCAACATGATACACCATATTAACAAATTGAAGGATAAAAACCATATGATAATCTCAATAGTTGCAGAAAAAGCTTTCGACGGAATTCAACACCATTTATGATAAAAACTCTCCAGAAAGTAGGCATAGAGGGAACCTACCTCAACGTAATAAAGGCCGTATATGATAAACCCACAGCCAACATCATTCTCAATGGTGAAAAACTGAAAGCATTTCCTCTAAGATCAGGAAAAAGACAAGGTCGCCCACTCTCACCACTATTGTTCACCATAGTTTTAGAAGTTTTAGCCACAGCAATCAGAGAAGAAAAAGAGATAAAAGGAATCCAAATCAGAAACGAAGAAGTAAAGCTGTCACTGTTTGCAGATGACATGATACTATACATAGAGAATCCTAAAGAATCAGTGATTTTTTTCCAATGCCTTCTGGGAATCGTTCTGTAGCAAAGACTGCAGAACAGAGGGAACTACATAAAGAAGATTAAATGATCCAAGTATAAAGCCGATGGTGAACCTTCTTTTTCATATGTCCCTATGGGATCCTCTTTGCCTACTTGGATGGCTGGCAAATAGTGTACTGTGCCTTTAAATGCAGGCGTGCGCGCGCGCGCGCGCACACACACACACACACACACAATGTCAACAGGGATGCCTGGAAATGCTTATGCAGTTATTCTTGACTTTTAATATTATAAATGTTTTCTTTAGTTTAGTTTAGATTGGATACTAATCAATTTTTACCAAAAATAATTCACTTCCTTTAACCTTTACATCGAAAGATATGTGAAAATGCGTACTCTATTTTTTCTCATTCAAATTATGAACTTGTTAAGCACACACACATACACGTGCACAAACACATACACACTTATTTCCCCAAGGTAAATAAAATGCAGTTTATTCAATTAAGGAGTAACTAAAATGATTAGTAGCATTTCAGTGCCTTATAAACAAAACTCATCACTGCACTGTGTTCAAAAGCTTTGGTCATTGTACAGCAGGGAGTTCATTTGATCAAAACTTAGAGAATATCAGGGTTGGAAGGAAGTATATCTTATCTTATTGAACCACACTTTAGTAGTTGAATCCATGGGATGATATCTCTGCCAAGGGATCACTGACTATATGGTGTATACCTCCAGTAAAAAGGAAAAAAATATACTCTCTAAACACAGACTATTACTAGTAAGACATTTATTAATTGTATTATTAAATTGTTTCTAAAATCCATTATTATTGCAATGGTGAAGAGGTAAATGCAAAGCTAACCTCAGTCAGAAGTGTATTACAGTTAGGTTGACAGTAAATTATAAGAAACATCCACTGACTATAAATCTGTTACAGAATATGTAATACTGTATATTAAAACAGGATGGAGATGCTACATGAATTGGCAACCTTTTATATCATTAAAAAACCATTGAAAACCTAAAAATGATGCTTGCATATAGCTGTAGATACTAGAGAACCTTTCATTTTAAAAGTTAATTCTGTACCATTCTTTTAAAAAATTTATCATCGTCATATGCAGGTATGTATTGTTTATATCAAGTGATTTTTGTGCCTAGATATAATTTAAGACCGTTAATATATATTCATATTTACTTTCATATAAAAATATATATAAAAATAGAGTATTTAAAGGAGGTGGATATTCATACTAAGGAACTGATCAATCAAAATAGTTTTATGTTTTTGTATAGTAATGAAATTGAGGTATTCGTACATTTGGTAATTTCAGCTAAATACTGAATTAACCCTCTCAGCCTTTTTTCCCCAAAAGGAAAATAATCCTTTAAGAGCCATTGTAACTGTGAGACGTTATCTCACAACAAAGCGCTTGTACAATAAAAAATTTTACTATCTTAAACTTGAAGTATAGAAGAGAAAGTTCTCAGTACTAGGATTAGATATGTTTTACATGTATGCCACAGTTTTATAAAAAAATAATTCTATGTCTTTTCTAAATCTGGATTAGATACAGTTGCTCAGGAAAATCAAAATACAGTTACTAGTAACAGAGTAGTATTTGTGGACATATACACATGCTTTCTGGAAATAAATGCCTATGCACTTGAGAATGCTTAACCCTTTGCAAAATATTTACATAAAATATAATTGCAATCTTAAATTATATAGAGTTCTAACAGCAAACAAAGGCTTTCTTAAGTAATATCATCAATGAAACATAATAAAGTAACCCATGAAGAACTATATTTTCTCACTTTAAAATTACATATTTAATCAACTTAGACTGCAGTTACCCAACCAAGTTCACAGACAGGCTAGGAGGGAATGTTTATGAAAACTACAAAGAATGTAAAGAAATATATTGGTGTTTTAACTGTAAAATATTACACTTCCTATCGCTTTCATAGAATCTCTTAGAATTCCCTGGAGGAGCATTACTATTCTTTTCCTTTCAGTTATAGGATGTTAAAAATCTAGGAAGAAGCGGTTTTCATAAGCATTGGATTCACAAAGCCTAAAGCCTCATCAAAGCCATGTTTTCTCCTGGTAAAGGGCACAAGCGTAATCCCCACTTGCAGGTGTAATGTAATTCCTTTTTCCCCTTTCCAATACTAAGGTAACGATAAAGATGATAAGGCAATACTCAAGAGCATTATCTTTTTCCCCCATGTTTCAAATGTCTATATTTCTCTTTATTATCACAATGCAATACCCAGGCCACCACAGTGGATCTAGTTTATGATTATACTTCAGGTCACCATTTTCTAGTTCTGTCTTTCATCTTGAAACCAGCTGATTTCCATGTGCACATCCTAACTTTATAAAGCTGTAGAAAAAGAAAGTGTTAGGACTTTTCTAGCTACGTGTGCATTGGTGTGTTTGTGTGTGCCGGTGTGCCTCAGCATGGGTGGTGGAACCAAAATACACATCATGCACAGGATTTGGCTGCTAAACCATCGTCCGGGTGAGTGACTTGAATCCTATTCCAAGTTCAGTCCTTCTGCAGAGTCTGCACAGTTCTTTCACTGGCACACATCCTGCTGAGAAGGATTTCAGAGCAAACCTGATTAACTGGACCTCTGACATGATACGGTGATTGAACATTTGTTACAGAGTCTTGTTGTCGTTGTTGTACTTTGCTTTGATTGCTGAAATATTTTCCCACAACATGATTTCTTGATCGTTTCATTTCAAGAAAGTGATATTCTTTGGATAATTTTGATTTCACTACCTGCAAATAAAGAGAAAAAAAAAATAGTGAGGTAAAATCAAGGACATTTGAGGCCCGCAAAGAGCAGGATAATTAACTCACAAACTTGAAGAAAACATCTCTAGCACATAGATGTTACAGATGTTGCCCAAAGGACATGAATATGATTGACATGACCAAGAACCAATGTAACTTATCTTTCAAAAAGGACCAAGGTTGAAATTAGAATTTCTGCCCCTTTTCTTACCTCAGGGCAGCTGTCTTTAATGCAACTAAGGAGTAGTCTCAGATAGTGTCTCTGCCTCACTGCTGTGTGTGTGTGTGTGTGTGTGTGTGTGTGTGTGTGTGTGTGTGTGTGTTTAGGCCAGATGCTAACATACAGAGGATACTAACATGCCTTTGCTGAGTCACTGATTCAAACATGGTACTCTAAGCCTGTCATGGCATCCTTTTATAGAATGATAGCTACAACTATTTTCAGAGAAAAGAGAAAATAGTTTTGCATTGCACACCCATAAGCTGACGCTGTTACAGTTGTAGTTTCATTTCTCTGGGCACTTAGTAAGTCATGGAATCCGAAGGAGCAGCCTATGCTCTATTAAGCTAATAACTTTATAAATGTTTGTACATATGTATAGTTTTACCTTAAAATTGTTTTGAATAGGCAGTATAAGCATTTATAAAGCATAAAAGAGTATATAATAAAAAGTTTCCTTCCCATCTCTTCTCCTCACTTTCAGTCACTCAACAGCCTCCCCAGAAGCAACATATATTATAGTTTCTTCGGGATTCTCTTCATGGACATTTTACGAATATTAACACACACACATGAAAACAAAGAGGCCATATTTATTGTCTATTTGTACAGTATGTAAAACTTTGCTCTGGTGAAATCCTATAATTGTCAGCTTTAATCACTGGGCTAATATATCTTAGGGAGTTAGCAACAAAAGTCAGAGAAAACGAGGTGGGGACCCAGAGAGACTGGGGGAGGGGAGGGCTGAGAAGTAGGGAAAAGTGAAAATACTGGCAAAAATTTTTTGGGTGTGTTTACAAATTAATAGCAAATCTTTAATTTCATCAAATTAATGCAACTGTAAGACATTTTCAGTCACTATGGACACATTATTTATTACTGATGACTAATGAAAGCAAACTAGCACATATGGATTTTTAAAATTCTTTTGAGGGCTATGTAATGATTTAGGTACATATTTTTTGATCCCATATAAAAGAATGCAATGAAAACAGTTCCAACAATATAGAATATTTGAAAAAAGCAGCATGCGATCTATTTCGAAGGTAGGTATTTTTAGTTATGTTGTAAGTTAGAGGGAACCATTTTAGAAGAGTTGTTTGAATAGAAATTCTATAACAGTCTACCCCGAAAGGTTAAGAGCAGTGATCTTTAGGTGGACGAATTATAGGCAATTTAAAATGTATTCTTTGTAAATTTTTGGTCTTGACTTTTTAATTTTACTGCAATGAATGTGCATTACTTTGTAATCGTAAAAACATTGAAGCTATTCCCATTTTGAAGACAAATATAACAGGAATGCCTTTTAAAGACAATATACCCTGCTAACCCCAAATAAATGAATTGTTTTTTTGTAACTATGGGAGGTTTGGCTTTTCATGATCAGGCCCTCAGATGAAGTAACTCTTAAGACGTTCAGTGAAATCAGCGGGTTGTGGTGAGGAATCCCTATGGATCGTAATTTACAGCTCAGTCTGCAGTTAACCACTGATTAATATTCCAGGTCCCAACGTTGTGAGTTTCTATTATGCACCGCTCCTTCTACATCTGTTTGGTTGTACAATAACTTTAAATATGATAGGCTGGGGAGGTGCACCAATGTTTTCCTGAAGGTTTTGTCCATTTTGGAGGAGGTTTGTATTCACCTATAGCAAGATAAGTGAACATTCTTAAGGAAGTTTACTTAAGGAAACACTGAAGCATAAATATTACAGTCAACCCTGAAAAAATATTATTCCGATGTTCTGAAGCCAAAATAAGGTTAATTTTGTTTATATAATGTTATCTTAAGTTCTGGCTTTTTCAATTGCCTGATGATCTGCATGCTAATTACATGAAAAATATAAAAAGGTTCATCCCAATGCAAAAAGGTCATATTCCTTAAAAATTTTAATGTTTTGTGTGATTTCAGGGTTGCATTTAATGTTGCTTAGGCCAGATGCTAACATACAGAGGATACTAACATGCCTTTGCTGAGTCACTGATTCAAACATGGTACTCTAAGCCTGTCATGGCATCCTTTTATAGAATGATAGCTACAACTATTTTCAGAGAAAAGAGAAAATAGTTTTGCATTGCACACCCATAAGCTGACGCTGTTACAGTTGTAGTTTCATTTCTCTGGGCACTTAGTAAGTCATGGAATCCGAAGGAGCAGCCTATGCTCTATTAAGCTAATAACTTTATAAATGTTTGTACATATGTATAGTTTTACCTTAAAATTGTTTTGAATAGGCAGTATAAGCATTTATAAAGCATAAAAGAGTATATAATAAAAAGTTTCCTTCCCATCTCTTCTCCTCACTTTCAGTCACTCAACAGCCTCCCCAGAAGCAACATATATTATAGTTTCTTCGGGATTCTCTTCATGGACATTTTACGAATATTAACACACACACATGAAAACAAAGAGGCCATATTTATTGTCTATTTGTACAGTATGTAAAACTTTGCTCTGGTGAAATCCTATAATTGTCAGCTTTAATCACTGGGCTAATATATCTTAGGGAGTTAGCAACAAAAGTCAGAGAAAACGAGGTGGGGACCCAGAGAGACTGGGGGAGGGGAGGGCTGAGAAGTAGGGAAAAGTGAAAATACTGGCAAAAATTTTTTGGGTGTGTTTACAAATTAATAGCAAATCTTTAATTTCATCAAATTAATGCAACTGTAAGACATTTTCAGTCACTATGGACACATTATTTATTACTGATGACTAATGAAAGCAAACTAGCACATATGGATTTTTAAAATTCTTTTGAGGGCTATGTAATGATTTAGGTACATATTTTTTGATCCCATATAAAAGAATGCAATGAAAACAGTTCCAACAATATAGAATATTTGAAAAAAGCAGCATGCGATCTATTTCGAAGGTAGGTATTTTTAGTTATGTTGTAAGTTAGAGGGAACCATTTTAGAAGAGTTGTTTGAATAGAAATTCTATAACAGTCTACCCCGAAAGGTTAAGAGCAGTGATCTTTAGGTGGACGAATTATAGGCAATTTAAAATGTATTCTTTGTAAATTTTTGGTCTTGACTTTTTAATTTTACTGCAATGAATGTGCATTACTTTGTAATCGTAAAAACATTGAAGCTATTCCCATTTTGAAGACAAATATAACAGGAATGCCTTTTAAAGACAATATACCCTGCTAACCCCAAATAAATGAATTGTTTTTTTGTAACTATGGGAGGTTTGGCTTTTCATGATCAGGCCCTCAGATGAAGTAACTCTTAAGACGTTCAGTGAAATCAGCGGGTTGTGGTGAGGAATCCCTATGGATCGTAATTTACAGCTCAGTCTGCAGTTAACCACTGATTAATATTCCAGGTCCCAACGTTGTGAGTTTCTATTATGCACCGCTCCTTCTACATCTGTTTGGTTGTACAATAACTTTAAATATGATAGGCTGGGGAGGTGCACCAATGTTTTCCTGAAGGTTTTGTCCATTTTGGAGGAGGTTTGTATTCACCTATAGCAAGATAAGTGAACATTCTTAAGGAAGTTTACTTAAGGAAACACTGAAGCATAAATATTACAGTCAACCCTGAAAAAATATTATTCCGATGTTCTGAAGCCAAAATAAGGTTAATTTTGTTTATATAATGTTATCTTAAGTTCTGGCTTTTTCAATTGCCTGATGATCTGCATGCTAATTACATGAAAAATATAAAAAGGTTCATCCCAATGCAAAAAGGTCATATTCCTTAAAAATTTTAATGTTTTGTGTGATTTCAGGGTTGCATTTAATGTTGCATTACCAGTGTTGGATAATGCTAGTTTAAATGCTTACAGTAATCTTGAAAGTGACTCATAAAAGGGATATACAAAAAATACCTATTTCCAGTGTATTTGCTGAAGCATGTAGCTTCCACTCGGGAGTAGTGTCAGTATTTTGCCAGATCACAGTGGGAAGGTTGATGATATACTTCTATTTTTAAATCACTAAGATGATCTCTGAGAAAGGAAGATGGAATGATGGTGTCTCCGCCAGCTTCTGAGGACCAGCCTAATGTCTCCTACAGGGAACACTTCTATTATGCTATATGAGATTGACCCCTACACAGCCATGCCAGGGATTGGCCCAACAATACCTAAGTCAGTTGGTTTCCTTTGAAAACTATTTTTCAGGAAATAATCAAAGACAATGAGTTTCCCAATTCCTTTGTTAAGCCAGTATCACCCTGATGAATCCTAAAAGCTGACAAATCTACAGAGAAAGAATGATTTCAATTTTGATTTGTCAAAACACAGACATAAAAAATCCTCCCAAAATGTTATTGTAAATGGAATCTAGGAGCATTTTAAAAATCTAGCAGTATTATGGGCTGTATTACTAGCACATACAATTTATTTCAGGAATGTTAAGCTTCAATATTATGAAATATTTTGTCACAGGAAATTACCAAAGAATTATTTGTAGCTATATGATTGTTTGCCCTGAAAACTCAAAGAAATCTACAGTAAAATAAGGAGATATTTTAAAGTTAATATTAAAAAATTATATAGCTTTCTATATTATATCAATAATAAGAAATATATTAGAGAAAAGATTTCATTACAATATTAAAACAACTTCATCAAGTTCAATGATAATCTATAGGACACAGGTGAAGAATGTGTCAAAAATTTAATGAGACATAAAAGAAAACATGAATAAATGGAAAGACATAACATGTCAAATCGTCCCAAGTTAATTAAAGAGCTATTCCAATTTTAATCACAGCAGGATTTGGGGGTATGTGACAAAGGAATTCTAAAACA